TAGAGCTGTGTTGCTCAAAGTGATCGAATGTGCCTGGTGTTGGGTTACAAATCACTTTAGTGCTGAATGCCGGGGTAGTGAGATGCTGTTATCAATGGTGTTGTCTTTATTGTATGAATACAGGGAAGCAGAACTGTGCTTAACTAGTCCCAAATGAGGGGGTCACCCTCAGCTGAAAGTACCTCATTAAGCTGGGGGCTCAAATGCCAGAGCCCTATGAAAGTAAGAGGGGTGGGGACATGGGTCCCAATCAGGAGGTGGGCACCAGGGGTAATAGTGGAAAGGGTGCAGGGAGCCACGTGGTGCAAGGCGGTGCCATTGAGTGTTAGTGAATTGGGCCCATTGAACGTATTCTTCAGGTTATCCTGTCCCGAATGTAGCTGCTGTAACTGCTGACAAAGTGTCCTCGGAGGCACAGTAAAGATGAGGGAAGGAGGCTCCAGTCCTGTGGCTGAGTGGCAGCGCTGAGCTCAGTCGGGTGTCTGATTCCTTGGCCTCGGCCTCTCCCTTCCCAAGCTGGCAGAGTTCAGGAGCCTTGTGGGAGTGGGTCTCAGTGTGCTGCACTGTTCAGCAGCCATCCCGCTAGCCAATGCTGAGTGCAATGTGGGGAGCCCCCTCCAGGATTCTCCCCATGCGCAAGGGAGGCTGCAGTGCTGGGCTTAGAAGTTTGGAGCGAATCCAGATTAAAATACCAGAGGGCTCCTCAGTCCAAGGGTCTGACTGGTCCAGGTGGTGAGTGCAGCTCTTTCTCCTTATCCATTGGCCGGTTCCCTACGGCAGCTGTTAAGGGGTTAAACCCGGATTCTGGATGCTCCTGAGCAGAAAAGACGCCACCTCCCTCTTCCTGTGCACCTGCAGGGAAGAGACCCTGCGCACAAGCAGCGGGGGTCAGGACTGCAAGTGGGGCTGCGCAGCCAAAGGACATGGGGGATGTCAGGCTAGGCTGGAGGGTCAGGGCTGGGAAGGAGGAAGTGCTTGCTGTCCCTCCAAAGCGCACCAGGGCTCTGGGAGCAGCTGCTGGTGTGGTCCCCGGAGCCCCTTGCAGCATGGCTAGGCAGGAAAAGCCTCAGCAGGGTCCTTAGCATGTGACAAAGTCAATGACTGTCCTGGGGTCCCAGCTCTGCCATTGACTCCCTGTCTCTTAGGCCAGCTTTCCCTGATTTCTCCGCATACTGAGGGACTCGTGACTCTGCTTGAGGTCTGTGGCAGCTGTGTGGGCTCAGTGCCTCTGAAAACCAGGCCCATGGAAACTGAGGAACACAGAGACTCAGACCCACTTGTTCAAAAGGGGCCTTTACTCGTGAGTGTCTCAATTTGCAGGGTAGTTTGAGACACTGCAGCTACTCTAACGTGATACCCGTTGCTGACATTGAACCTTAATAATCCCAAGGAAATCCGCAGGAGCTAGGGGATCAGAATATAGCCCCTTTCTAAAAAGACACTGATGAGGGAAAATTCTTCCCTGAAAATGTCAGGGGACGGTAGATTAACCATCGCCGCTTGTGGTATCCTGGAGCACTAACACCATTTATCCTTGTGCATTACTACTATTATTATTATTTGTGACACAGCAGCAGCTAGTTGCCCTCGCTAAGATCAGGGCCCCATTGTGCTCGCTACTGTATGACCTCACAGTCAGCGCCAGTCTAAAGAGACAAAGAACAGCTGAAACGTAACAACCTTCAGCTAAAAGTGGTTTCAGATCGCCCTACTGATGTGAAACAGTCATGAGCCAGAAGGCTACGCTGACTAACGGTCCCACAACTGCAAGGCTCCTTTTACCATCCCACAGCACAGAATTCTCTTTACATGGAGACAAGTGCTGGGCCAAATTCACCTGCACTCAGTGAAGATAGTGGAATAACCCGAGGGATGAATTTGGTCCAACTCCAGTGAAATCATTAGAGTGATGCCAGGGATGGATCTGGCCACTACATTTAAATCTACAGTGACTTCACAGCATGTTATGGGATGGAGTGAGAGAGCAGTTTCCCAATCTCAGCAGCTCTCGCTCCCACAGACGTCCACATTGGCAGAGACTGGCTGGCTCTGTTAAGAAATGCTTGGGGGGATGGAACAAATCTCTCCTAACTGCAGAGCCAGTCTGATCCCTGGTAAGGCCTGTCTGTGCTGGGGGCACATATGGTGCAAAGGATCAGACAAAGGTCTGCACTGTACACAGCAGTGAGAAGGTCCCAGTGGTTTGCAACTGCTACTGAAAAGGGGCCGGGAGAATTATCTTGGGTTTAGAGCAGGGGGGCTACAAGTCAGGACTCTTTTGTTCCCAGTGTGTCAGTGATTATACCCACCTACCTCAGAGGGGGCGTCTGGAGACATTAACTGCTTGTCCACAGCTTCGTAGCTGCACAGCACCAGTTCTTATTAGAGGCTGGGGCAGCTGAAGTTTTTCTTTCATAAAGTGGCTTTTCTGAAGACGTGAAAAAAGTTCTGAAAAACATTGTTTCCTCGAAATTTTCTGATTTTTGACCAAAAATCCCTAAAAATGAAACCACAAAAGTAAAGAATAAAAAAAATCCCTGCACCCCCAGAAATTTTCAGAACCAAAAAACCTGACAAATGTTCAGTTTTTGATTCTTTGTTTTTTCTTCAAGGAAAACCTGAAAATTTTTGAGGAAAAATTTCCATGGAAGCAAAACCATTTTCATTTTTGTCTACATATTTTGCAAAAAAACCTCAATGTTTTTTCAGCTGGCTTGTCCGTTCCTATCTTGCTTCTTCATCTGCCCTCTGTCCTTCTCTTTCTCTCACAGTATTGCCAACCCCAAATGTTCAAAAATCATGAGTCAGGCTCGCCAAATATCATAAGATTGGCTTTAAAATCATGAGATTATGTACAAATAATCAAATTGGTGTTCTTTTTATTTGCCTTCTGCTTTTTGGAAACTTTAGGGGGCACTGGAGTCACATTTTGAAGCTTTCTCCAAAGCCACGAGGGCTAGTGTAGTAGGGTCACGCCGGGGCTCTACCCTCCGAGACGGAGGGGTGCCACACCGGCTCACTATAGCGCAGACAGTCAAAGCTCAGGTCCCTTTACGTGGGGCTGAGCAGCCTGCAGTTCAGGGAGCTCAGGCCCTTAGGCAGGGGCTGAGCGCTAACCAGCAGTTTAAGCAGGCCCAGGCCCTGGATTAGGGCGGGGCACACACAGTCACAGCTCAAGCCCTTTGGGGCAGGGGTTGAACAAACAAGCAGTTAAGGAACTCAGGCCCTCTGGTGCAGGGGCTGAGCAGACAAGCAGTTAAGGGGCCCAGGCCCTGGGTCAGGGCGGGGCACAGACAGTTACAGCTCAAGCCCTTTGGGGCAGGGGTTGAGCACACAAGCCGTTAAGGTTAGCCCTGGGTCCTACACCTGAGCGTCAGGTGAGGGGGAAGCCTGCCACCCGTGCGGGGTGGCAGGGGAGAACGCAGGCCCACCCACTCCACTGCGTTCCAGCCTGGGGCCCTAGCAGCGGTTACTGCCACTGCTGGTCAGTGGGGTATCCTGACCGAAACACACTGACATCGGCTCACAGGCCTCTGCAGCCTGACCGGGGTCGGCGACCCCCGGGCTACTTCCATGTTCCCCCTCGGGGCCTACCTCATTGGTGATGCCGGGTTGGGGCCAGTCCAGCAGCATCGGTTCCTCGGGTGCGGGGCTTGGGGGCCGGGCCGGCAGCTCTCCCCCAGGGTAGCTGGCACGGGGCAGGCTTGGCTCCTCCTTGGGGTAGCTGGTCTGGGGCAGGCTTGGCCAGTCCTCCTCGGGGTAGATGGTCCGGGGCAGGCTTGGCCAGTCCTCCTCGGGGTAGATGGTCCGGGGCAGGCTTGGCCAGTCCTCCTCGGGGTACCTGGCGAGAGGTAGGCTCGACTGGCGGGGGGGGGGGGTAGCAGGCGGCTCGCGGCCTGCGGCTGTCTCCCAAGCGGGAGCTCGGCCCGGGACGTCTGCTCTCTCTGGCGGTCTGGGCCTCACTGAGCTCTGCTGGCGGGCTTTTATACTTCCGGGTCGGGGCCGTGACCTCGGAGGGGCGGGCCCCGGACCCGGTGGCTCCGCCCATGCTGGGGTTGGAGGAAGCTCGGCCCTATCGGAGATGGAGGGGTGCCACACCGGCTCACTACAGCTAGAAATTTATTTTTTCTTTAAGAATGAAGGCTGAAATCATCACATATTCACTTGATTCCAGGAGCTGGGGCTTTAAGGAAAACAATAATCATCATGAGTCTCATGACAAAATCATGAGAGTTGGCAACACTGCGTCTCACTCACTGTCTGGATTAAACCTTGCATGTCCTGCAAGCTGAGACACTCTGAAGTTGACTCTGTTCTGGCCACGTGTCCCAGTCTGTAACACTGATGGCCCATACATAATGCCATCTCAGATCTCTCTACCCAACACCTTATCCTGGTGGTGCTGCTGGGAACACAGCACGGGGCATCCAAGATGAGGGTGAAAAACAGCCGGTTGGAACATTGCCAATGAAATGAAATTTCACCACAAGATGTTGTTTCATTGAAGCCTAAACGTTGTACAGAGATGTTAGAGTGACAAGGTGGGTGAGGTAATATCTTCTATGGGACCAACTTCTGTTGGTGAGGTTGTCTCTCTAATATCCTGGGACCGACACGGCTACAACAACACTGCATACATCCAGAGATGTATCAGTTTCCACAGTTTCTGGTAAAAAAAGACTGATGTTGCATGGCTGGGTGGTTAAGGCCCTGACCTGGGATGTGGGAGATCTAAATCCCTGCTGTGCCTGATTTAGAGCGATCTGGGATGGAAAACTCTGTTCTGAAGCAGGCAGAGCAGGGACTTGAATGTGGGTGTCCCACGGGTCAGTGCCCGGACCACCAGGTTACACACTCTGAGTCGAAAAGCTCGGGTTTGCATCTTAGCATGGACCCTAGGAAGTATTGGCTCAGTCCTGCTGGTCAACTGGGGAAGGAGAATGCGTTTCCAAGAGCGCTCCCGTCTCATGCATAATGTCCATCTGTTTGATTTTCAGGTCCAGATATGTTCTGTGATTTTAATGGCAAGAAGTATGGTCCAGGAGAGAGCTGGCATCCCTACTTGGAACCTCAGGGGCTGACGTACTGCATCCGATGCACCTGTTTGGAGGTATAGCTTCACAGTCTAGTCGGTCGTGCTGATCTACAGTATGAGAGCAGGTGTCAATGGTGCTGTTACCAGACTTGTTTATAGTGGGCCGCTGGGCATTAACCTTGCTTTGGCGGCCTTTAATCAGTCCAGTTATGGTGGCAAACTCTATCAAAGAGAAGGGTCTTGCAGTTGCCTTAAGGGTGACCAGCTGCTGGATTAGCCTAATCCTTTTTGGAAACTCATTCCACAACTGAATCCCCTGGATGGTGAAGCTTTATCACTGGCTCTCACAGCTTCGTAAACTGCATTGTCCCAGAGGCGGGAAGCCACGTTGGTGGATTATGGGTGGAGATGCGGTGGGGTCCTGACCCATTGAGGGCTTTGATGTTCAGGGACAGGGCCCTGGACTAGCAATGGAAGTGGGCTGGGAGCTAATGGAGGGACTGGAGTACAGGGGGTGATGGCCTTGCAGCAGCTCATCCTGCTGAGGAGATTAGCTGTGTACTGTACAAGCTAGAGCTTCTGCATTTTCTCCCATGTTCAGTCCTCCTAGACACAGGAAGATCCTGTCTAGAGTGACAAACACATGGGTCCCTGGGGCCAGGGCCAGGAGCAAAGGATGACATTCCCCAAAGAAGACTGAGGCTCCATTGTGCTAAGCCCTGCACAAACACATAAGAGAGAATCCCATAAACCTGACAGTCTAAATAGGCATAAGAACATAAAAATGGCCATACTGGGTCAGATCAAAGGTCCATCTAGCCCAGTATCCTGCCATCCAACAGCGGCCAATGTCAGGTGCTTTAGAGGGAATGAACAGAAAATCATCAGGTGATCCATCCTCTGCTTCTGGCCAAGGGTGGGAGGGGAAGCAGCGCCACAGAGATGAGAAGTGCCTGGCCTAAGGTCAAAGGCAGAGCGAGGAGTAGATCTCAGGTCTCCTGAGTCCCACAGCAGTGCCCCAGGTACAAGACCACGGAGCCTATTGGACCAGATCAACGTAGTGAAGAGTCAAGCAGTGCAGAGGCTTTGCACCGTTTGGATGAACAGGGAGATCTGACAGGATCGGTGCACGGGGCAGAATGTTTGCAGGCCAACTGGCCCCTCTAGTAACTAGTTAGACAGTCTCATAATCATTTTACTTGTCAAGGATCATATGCTGGTTAGCAGCTCGTGGTGCTACCCAACAATTTAAATACAATGGCCCAAACCCTAAGCTGAGGTAACTCAGCCTAGTGCCTTCCACTTCTGGCTCAGTCCAAAAGGCCAAATAAGGCAGCATCTTCATAAAGGCCTGCGGGGGAAGGATTTTTGTCCCTGAGCAGCCCTGTTCTCTCTCCCTGCAAACAGAATGTGAATGTGAGCTGTTACCAAATCCAGTGCCCAGCCCTGCATTGCGTAAAGCCTGTCACTGACCCACAGCAGTGCTGCCCTCGCTGTGCAGGTAAGTGGATTTCTGGAGCAGATTTCTTTGTTCCACATTTCTGTTTCTCTGGGAGCTCGGTTTCTCTAGATGCTTCTGCTTTTGGACAGTCAGGGCATGAGGAAAACAGGAATTGTAACAACGCTCTGCACTTATAACATTGTTCTTAGCTCTAAATATTTATATTAGGAGAGGGTCCAAAAGCCCAAGCGGGAATGGGGCTCCCGTGTGCCGGGATCTGTATAAACCCAGAAGAGACAATGCCCAATAGAGCCAGATCACTGACTGCTGTCAGCACAGGACATTAATGGAGCTGTGCCAATTTCACCAGCGGAGGGGCTGGCGCACAGAGCCCCATTTGCCCCCAGCGATGTCAAAACACTTGGTGAAAGCGGGCACAAATTGTTGTCCCCATTTCACAGCAGCGCAGGGTGGCCCTGAGACCCACTCAGTGCTTCACAGCGAGGCAGGGCTGGAAATAGCACCTGGATCACAGGACTTTTTGCGGGGAGGCAGTGGGCACACGCCCACCCAGGCGAGGCTGAACTGGATGCGCAAAGCCAGGTGCCGATCTCCCGTATTAACTCTGCAATGAAGACACACCCTTAGCCTCTCTGTCCCAGTGTATCCCTCTGCAAAGTGGGGACCGTCTCACGGGGGTACTGGGATTACTGTGTGTAACGAGCTTTCATGGCCAACGTCGCTGCAGAGGAACAAACTATTATTATGCCACCTCACTGTTTGAAACAGACGCGCCGTCCGGGCCGTGGTGTGAAAGGACGGGAAAATGTGGAAATCTGAGCCAAACCCTGTTGGTTTTCGTCACTCCCCTGCTCCAAACTTATAGTGGCTTAGACAACGTGCTCACATAGGGATGGATGTGGGGTGTTAAGAATCCTCCCTTACACCTGTGTGCAGGCTACCCGGGGCAGATGGGCCACGTCTGGTGCATTGGTGGGGGTAGGGGACAGAATCCAGGCTCCCCTCATTCCCTGCCCCCTTCCCTGCATTGTGGGGAAGAACGTGCTGCCGGGGCAGGGAAGCAGCTGCTCACTCCCCTCTGAAGCCAAGGGGAGAAAGGGAAGGAATGTGGCTTCCTTATCCACCAGTCCTTCCCTTTTCCTATGGGCGTGTCTTTGGCAATCTAACTCTACTTTTAAGATTAACAATAATCTCACAGAGAGGCAGAGCAAACTGTCTTTATGGGCTCCCTTCCAGGCGGAGATGGTCCAGGCCAGGCTAGATCCAGGGCTGAGGGAGGGCTGATAAAAGTGTTCCATGTTTACATCTCCCCTGGAAGATGGTCCCAGCTTCCCATTATTCAGAGCAGTGTCAGTGGAGGCGAGTGGATCTGTTTAGCGTCAGGGTTTCAGGTCCTGCATGCCGGGCCTGGGAAGTGACGAGACTCAGCCGGGCTGTTGCTGTTCCTCCTCTCCCCCTGTAGAGCCGCACACGCCGTCTGGTCTCCGGGCGCCTGTGAAGTCTTGCCAGTACAACGGGACAACCTACCAACCAGGGGAGATGTTTACCACTAGCGAACTCTTCCCTTCTCGGCAGCCAAATCAGTGTGTACAGTGCAGCTGCTCCGTAAGCTATTTTTGAATCAAAGGGAGTCGCAATGCTTTATCTGTCAGGTGGGCATGGGTTTGAAGGGGGAGGACGTGGTCAGGGAATGCCAATCGTTGTGTTTTAACCTTTATGTCGCTACAGCAGTATCACAATAATCTGACCAGCTATTCCAGCTCAGCTCCGTAAGGGGTGCTCCCACCGGGCACGGCTGGCCTGGCAATGTTATTCCCCATGAGCTGATTCTGGTAGCCATCCCTATGTACCTCGCTCCATGAGTAGTCCCATTGGCTTCCGTAGGACTATTCAGTGGCATCAGGTAGTGTATCAGAGCCTGTCCCTTTGGATAGGAATTCTGATCTTATGCTGGTGTAAACTGGAAGATCTTCCATTGCAGTCAATGGAGTCACAATGGAGTAAAACCTGCATAAGTGAGAGGAGATTCAGATCCTTCCCCGTTACATGAGAACGATCAGACTTGATGAGAGACAGGAGTTCTCTGGCTGACCAACACCTAGGACTGGATTCTGATCTCTTACACTGGTGTCAATACAGAGTAATCCCATTGATTTCAGTTGAGTCTCTTTGGGTTTACAACACAGTATTGAGTCAAATTCAAAGTCTCAGTCCTTGTCTTCAAGGTGCTCGCTCAATGGCCTGGGCCCATGTCACTGGGTTGGTACACCCCACCACCCTTTGGGGAGAGTGGTGGGGTCATTATAACCCCATAGCTGAGTCTGGATGACTGCCCTTGGCTTCTGAGCAGTACAGTCTAATGGTTGGGGTTAATAGTGTGCCCTCCCTCACAGAGCTGCATGGCCTAGTGGCCAGAGTCAATATGGATGCCCTCCTCTGCAGGGGTGTGTGGCCAGTGGCCAGACTCAGTAGGGCTACCCTTGACCAGCAGGGCAGCGTGGCCTGGGCCAGGAGTGGCTGGAGAGGTGGTCTGTGCCTTGGGGTGGTGGCAGCCAGGGTAGGGGGATCTGGGCCCTCCCTACTCCACTGGGTCCCAACCCAGGGCCCTGGCGGTGGTGGGGTTGCCCGCCACCTGCTCAGTGGGGATCCTACTAAAACATGCTAAGCCAAGCCCCGGTTCTATGTCTGTTTCCCTGTTAAGTTCCCCAGGGTTATTTCCTACCCGTTCCTCCGTGGCTAGTTGTCTTCGGAGTCCCACGGCCTCTCCTCTCTCTGCAGCATTGGTGCTTAAGGGTCATTGGTCATCCCTGGCTGGCTAGCCTCTGCGAACTGGAGTGTCGGCGGGTCCCTCTGCAGGAGCATGCAGCGCCTTCGCTGGTCAGCCCCGACTGAGCTGAGTTGCTCCCTTTAATATCTAGATTCCAACTGGAGCATGCCCAGCAGAGATGAGGGGGCATGGTCTCCTTGGCACACAGAGTGTGGTTAACCCCTGCTGAACCAGTGTGAGTTTGGTTCATCCCGTCACAACCCAGGATATCTAAAAGAGCCTAAAGCTCCAGGATGAAGACCAGGGTTGACAACTTCATCCTGGCTCGAAAGAATTTAAAGCTCATCTATTCAAAACTTTCTCAGGCGGTGGTCTGGGACTGTGAGATGAACTCCCCCAGGATCTAAGATTGATCGCAAACCTCACCACCTTCTGCTCCCAGTGCAAGATGAACTTCTTCCACTTGCCTTCTCTGATACGAACACAGAGCAGCATGGACATTGCAAAAAATGCCCCCACAACACCCCCAAACAAAACACTGCACTGCACACACAATTCTCCCAATGGGGAGAGGTTGAGAGAGAGAGAGAACGGGTCACACATAACACATGTTGGTCACATCACTTAATGCCCGACTGGAAGGCGCTCAGACACGACAGAGATCAGGAGGGGATATGAATCTGGCTAGAACAGAATAGAAATAGAATAGTAACCAAGAGCAGAATCTGCCCATTGAGTGTGAAGATATGAAGAGTGTATTAGGACCAGATTTTAGCCCCCCTGCTTACGCTTAGTATTTTCCTTCCACAAGCAGTCACCATTGTTTTCAATGGGATTACTCGTGAAGTAAGGTGCCACTCAGCGTGAGTAAGGATGGCAGGTCTTGGATGGCAGGACTTTTCACCTGGGAAGACGAAGGGCCCTCCAAAAACTTCTGACCATACCCTGACTAAATAATAGCTTCTTAAAAGATCCAAAAGATCTACCCTGCTACCAGTGCAAGATTGCTCCTTACTGTCCGTTTTCTAGCGCCTTGTCCATCTGATTGTAAACATCCAAAGTTAAGACCAGCAGAGGGGATGGCTTGGAATCACCCATTGGAGTTTACCACAGAGACCTTGCTGGGATAGAAGCATTACTGTGTAGATGGAAGCACTTGGAAGAGGAGGCTTGGCCGTACACCAACGCCTTCGCAACACGGCTCCTGTGTGCTTAGAAATCCACTGAAGCCATTACGTTACCACGCTGAAGTGCAGATTTCAGTGAGAAGCAAGTTACTGACGCCCAGAGCAGCACTGCATACCTTAGTAAGTTACATTGCTACCCAGGGCTTGCTTTACAGCGTGAGTTTGGGACCATTTGTGGCAGAAAACCCTGCAAGAGGCTGTATCTTTTGTTTTCAAGGCCGATTCTATAGTGAACTACTGTGATTCTCCTCAACTGGTGACCCCAGTGTTGTGGGTGTTATGACCCTCTGTCATTATGAGGCATTGGCTGTGAACAGACTCCTGTCATCAGAGATAGTCTTAGCTACTTTGTGTGATCTCTGTTTAGCTGCTGAAGAGCAAACCATTGGTAGTGGATCATCTTGTCTTTCAGTTTGCAAACATTGCCAATGGGCATTTGATGAATATTTTTCTTCCCAGAAAGCCTGAAAGCCCAGGAGCAGACTCAGACAGGGACTTGGCTTGACTCTGGTAGCCTTCTGCCACAGTGTTTTACCCTGTCTTTGCAACAGATAGTGTTAACGGCCTGTTGAAAACCGCATCCCAACTCCCGTTTGCTTTTCAAACTCTTTACTAGACTGGCGAGCGCACAGTTTGTCCATTGTAAGGCCCAAAGATGGATGTCTAAGGTGTGATGATGCCAGTAAGCTGAGTGTCTGGGGATAGATTGAGTGGCTTCTTCTCATCTTTCCCATTTCTCCAGGAGTAGAACATAAAACGGCAGAGCAACAACCACTCTAAACTTGGAAGACATATGGTAACATTCCAAGCATCAATAACCTCTCTCTGCATGTCCCAAAGCCATAAAAAGGAGAGTTCTGTACAGAGATTGCTTTCATTCCATTTATTATATAAAGATATTAAAGGGGGCCAGATGGCTTATGGGGTTGTAATAGGGTGTGGAGCCTTTCAACTCCAGATCAAGTTCAGCATGAGAGCATCCAGAAGTCGTTACTACTTGAAGGTTCTTGGGAAGACTACGTGGAATGAGTTCTTGGTCTCAGACCAGTTCCTAATGGATGGGTCTCCTCATCACATTGGACAGTAGTTCCCTTGTTGGAAGTCTCTGTGGAGAAGCCAAGGACTGAGTAAGCCATGGACAGTGGGGATGGTAAACTAGTGCTAGTACTGCCTAGGTGTCGTTGCTCTATAGATGAATAGAAGGGGCTTAGTCTTCCGGACTGTCAATTTCACATCGATCAACTGCAGTGAAGTCACGCAAAAATTCATCTGAAAAAATACGAGGGCTTGATTTGTTGTTGTCTTGCACCATGTGTAGTCATTTACCCCTGCGCTAACAGGGCCAGGTCCTTGGTCCTCACTAAGGTGCCTTACACTTAAACTGACTTACTCAGTATGAATAAGGATGGCCAAACCTGGCACATAGAGATAGACAGATAGACACGAGACATACAAATTATATAACTGATGGGGCTGGTTCTTCTCGTATTTACACCAATTTTATACCAGCATAACTCCTGATTGATGCCCTTGCTGATGAGAGGAGAACCAGACCCAAAGGTTGTGTATATATTTGTATGTGTGAAATATATACAAATGGAGAGGGATGCTTCTGTCAACAATTATATATCACTGCAGCATTTGGTTTTACTGTCTCATCTGCTTTTTGTGACACCGCTGATCAAGAACTCCCAGGTTTGTACGTACTTGCTAGATGCGTTGGATTGCTTTTCTCTGGTTCTCTGTTTATTGAGTGGGATAATGTCTTGGACGCTAAGGGGAAAATAAAATGATCACAATGAAGCCAGGCACCAGTAGGATTGTGATTGGTCTTGTCTAATATTGCCAGTTGCTGAAACAGCTGCAGGAACAGCTGGTCTAAGTAACCTCTTTGAAAACTGCACCAAGTGCATAGCCTTTGGCATAAATTCTTTTATTTATGGCATTTGCCTCTCTTCCACTTGGCCCATACATACGCAGCTTTAAGCAGCGACCTGACATTCTCAAGGGTAAATAAGGAAACAGTCATCCGTGACCTAAAAACAAGCAAGGGCCAAATTCCAGCAGCACTGAAGTCAGTGGAGATAGTCTGGATTTACATCCCTGACCCAAAAGCAGCGTTTGGCTCAAGGCTGTCTTTGCTGAGTGGAGTCCCAGGATATTAGAGAGATGAGGTGGGGGAGGTAATATCTTTTATTGGACCAACTTCTGCTGGGGAGAGAGACAAGCTTTTGAGCCACACACAGCTCTTTTTCAGGTCTGGGAAAGGTACCCAGAGTGTCACAGCTAAATACAAGATGGAACAGATTGTTTAGCATAGTAGTTACCACGTATTCTAAGGGACCATTAAGATAGCGTGGCCTGTTAACATCTCTGAGGTCCTAAAACAAAAAGAGGGGGTTAGTGGTTACAGATTGTTGTAATAAGACATAAATCCAGTGTCTCTGTTACATTCATAACTCTGCTAGACACAAAAAATCATGGACTGAACAGAGACACTGGATTTATGGCTAATTACAACATTCTGTACCCGCTAGACACTGAGGCCATGTCTACACAAGCAACCTTACAGTGGCACAGCTGTACCAATAAATCTTCATTGCTGTAAGATCGCTCATGTAGCCACATTATGCTGCTGGGAGAGAACTCGCCCATTGACATAATAAAACCACTTCCACGAGCGGCGGTAAGAGAGCGTCTCCCGCTGACATAGCGCTGTGCACACGAGTGCTTATGCCGGCGAAATTATGTCACTCTGGGGTGTGTTTTTTCACAGCCCTGAGCTACAGAAGTTTTGCTGACATAAGTGCCAGTGTAGACATGGCCTAAAAATCATGGACTGAACAGGGACACTGGATTTATGGGTAATTACCACAATCTAACCCTAACTGGCTTTTTCACATCCCCGAGTGAGGTAGTTATCCCGATTTATGTCTGTAGTGTAGACAAAACCTGTGGCTTGAAAGCTTGTCTTTCCCACCAACAGAAGTTGGTCCAATAAAGGATATTACCTCACTCACCTTGTCTTTGTTGAGCCCTGGTCTACACTACAGAGTTAGATGGATGTAAGGCAGTTTATGTAGACCTAACTCTGTAAGCGTCTACACTCCAATGTTGCTCCCGCCGATGTAAGTCGCCCACTAAACTGACTTAATAACCCCACCTCCAAGAGAGGCATAGCGTTAGGTTGGTGTAGTTAGGTCGACGTAGTGTCAGTGTAGACGCTGTGTTGACTATTCTGGCTGTCAGTGCCTGGCAGTTGACAGGCAGAGCCCCGCCACCTGGCGCTGACAGTCGGAGCTGGGCTCCAGCTCCAGCTGTCAGCCCTGGGCGGTGAGGCTCTGGCTGTCAATACCCCACACTGACATCCGGGCCATGCACTCCTGGTGAGGTCATGCACCGCCGACAGAAGGAGCTAGTGTGGACACGCAAAACCAATTTAATTACTGCGGGGACTGTATATCGACGGAACAAAGTCAACTGAGTTTTGTAGTGTAGAGTGGTTCAGTTCAGATCCATTGATTCACAAGACTTGCTTTCTTCTTATCCCCATTCACCTACACACCACACCCTTGTCTGTTCTCACCTGGCAGTGGAAGAAGCTGTCAAAGGATCTAGAGACGTTCACAGTTAGTTTAACTATCCTCAGTTGGGATGCTATAGGTACAATGAAAAATATCCCTGACCCAATGCAAGGGGGAGAGGTCCCTGATATCTAAGGGGCTGGGATGGTGTAAAAGCCTCATACCATCTCTCTCTGATTTCTAACTTGCATTCTGCATAATGGGCCAAATTCAGCCGTGGGGCAAATGGATGAAACTCCATTGTCTGCAGTGGAATTGTGCTTGCTTACAACAAGGCTGAAGTTAGCCCATTATTCAGATTTATGATGTGATGGCAGCGCTAGGGGTGTACTAGGCACTGTTCACACACTGTAGAAGATCAACCCTGTCCCTGCCCCAAAGAGTTTCCCATCTCAGTGTGGGCAGGGCCCTACCACGCACATTCATTTGAGCATGTGCTATACAATACAATGCAACAATGCTTGATTCTGGTCCTGTCTGGTGGCTGGGGACTGGTCATGATTTCTTTCCCTAGTGGACAAAGACTGCAGAGCCTGATCCTTAGGTGGTGTCGATCAGTTAAGCTCCATTGAAGTCAATAGTGTGCTATCAGTTTACACTGGATATGAGTCAACAGTGTGCCCTTGTTGCCAAGAAGGCTAACGGCATTTTGGGCTGTAGAAGTAGGGGCATTGCCAGCAGATCGAGGGATGTGATCGTTCCCCTCTATTCAACATTGGTGAGGCCTCATCTGGAGTACTGTGTCCAGTTTTGGGCCCCACACTACAAGAAGGATGTGGGAAAATCGGAAAGAGTCCATCGGAGGGCAAAAAAAAAATGATTAAGGGGCCAGAGCACATGACTTATGAGGAGAGGC